GCATAATTAACCGAGTGTGAGGTCAAGATGGCTGGACCCGAGTTTTTGTTCTTTGTTTTCTGCATTTTTATGGACCTAGACGAAGTCTACCCTACAATCAAAACTAAAACTAAAAAATGAGATGATTTATATGCGGAAAGGACTTTTTACTCGCACCATTCGCATTAAGAGTCGCAACAAGAACTCTAACTCGCCTATCTCAGGCGTAAAGGTATCAGGGCAAATTAAATGAATATATATGGGTTTTTAATCAAGCGTGAGATCAAGATGGCTGAGTAAAGCCGAGTTATTTCTTTGCATTCTTATGGACCGAGACTAAGTCGAGGACCATAAAAATTTAAAAAAAGGGCGAGGCTAATATCCAGCCATCTTGAGGGAACAAGCTTGGTTAATAAAGGATTTATTATATTACAAAAAGATTTCGCTTTATTAAGAATTAGGAATGAATTGTTTACTACGAAAGCTGGGAAAGACAACCAACTGTGTTTGTGGCACATCAAACTCATGAGATTCGTTTCTTTTTTCTTTGTTTTGACTATTTCTGCCGTTTTTTACGTTTCCATCACCGAAATTGTCCAGGGATTACGAATGTAGTTCTAATTCAATTTTTTTTCATGGGCGGGATCAATGCGGCCAATCCCGAGCAGGCAAGATGGGCCCACCTTGCCCGCACGCGGGTAACTAGTCAGAACACAGGATTACCTTCATCTTACCCACGGGCGCTGCGAGCGATGTAATAAGGAAGGTTATTATTTCATTTCTTGCTTTACAGAAATGCAGAAAAACCAAGTTGGCGCGAGGTTTTCCTCATACGAGATTCATTCAATTCTTTGTTCAACTCTCAAATCTCTGTTTCTGGAATGTTGTGTTAACAAAAACGGTTTCAGCAGCCATTCCGGTTTTTATTTATTTTAATGTGTTTTTCCTTGGCAGGCGAAGCGCTAAAAATTCTCTTCCGTCATACATGAAATATTTCAAAGAGTGTTACAAAACTTTCCGAGAGATTCCTTTCTAAATGACCTGTTTTCTTAAAGTGAAGATATAGAGGATTATGTCAGCAGGTTACGGAATAAAACTAGTTTTGTAAAGTGGGTTTTGTTATGAAAAAATAATGAATTCGTTTACATACAAATTGGAAATGAATGCAATGAAATCACCAAGGAAGACAATGCGACTCCTGTTAAAAATAAAAGAAAGGAATAAAAATAAGCGACAGTCAGAGAAAGAAAAGATAGATAAGTGAAAAGGACAGTTAAAGTCCTGTTTTCATCTGCAATTATTCAGTGCAGAACAAGATGAAGTTGAGATGGATCAGCTTATCGCAAACACAGATGCATGGGAGATTGCAGTTGACC